CGGGGTCCGTGCGGCGGCGGGGCCGGCTTGGCCGCTGCAATCGGGAAGAGGCAGAAGCTGCCCGGTCGCTGCCTTGTGCCTCTCTGAGGTCAGCGCCACCCTCCGACCAGGGATGGCAAAGGCCTGGGCGATCTGGCCACTCCAGTGGTCGCTCCCTTGGAGCCCAGGGCTTCAGGGTTGGACTATGCTGCCTCCAAGAGGCGACAGCAGAATTCCCCAGTTTCTCCTGAGACCATCACCCCTGCTGGGGAGTGACCATGGTGGTGACATTGGCGCCTGATCCCTCTCCCTTCCCTGGGGAGGGGTCGCTGTGGCAGGAGCTGGTTGGAAGGTGTCTGGGCCTTTAGCTTGGCCTGGACACCCCCGTGGACCAGCTGGTGTCACCCCGCCCGTCTGGCTGGAGGGTTCAGGGACAGTGTGCCCAGCGCCAACAAAGGGGCCTTTCTCTGCTGGCCGGGAAGAGGCTGGCCCTTGTGAGGTCGAGGATGGGCTGTTGTCTGACTGCCACTCTCCCCACTCCCCCATATCACCCACATGGGGGAGAGACCCCAGCCACCCCCTTGCTGTGGAAGGGGGAGACAGGGCTGTCCAGGGCCCCTTCCTGGGTCCGCAGTGGTCTTTATCCTGCTTGTTGCCCCTGCCTTCTTCCCCATTTCCAGCTGGGAAACCCGAGGCCCAAGAGGGCATGCGGCCCCCCACCCCCATGGGACAGGAGGATGTGGCCGCTGGTAGACTACCAGGGCGGAGCCCGGGGGCCCTCCCCAGCTTGGGTGGGGTGCTCGCCCCATTTCGAGGTTCGCCCTTCCTCAAGAATGGGTGGAGGGGCTGCCGGGTGCTCCAAAGCTCATCTTCTTGGCAGCAGCCTGGTTGCCAGGGGTTACCGGAGCGGGCTCCAGCTGTCTCCATGACAACTGCTGGGTGCTCTGGGCTCCGGCCCCCTCAGCCTCTGGGAAGGGGGCGGGACTTGTCCAGGGGTGGGGCTTGGCCGGGCAGCTCTGGAGCCCCGCCCCCAGGGAGCTTGACCCCCCACCTACCCGTCGGACTCCCTAACCCCTGCCTTGGAGCCAGCAGCTTCCTCTGCACTCCCTTTGCCCCCTCAGGGTCATAGCTCGCCTGTGACACCTTTTCCGCGTCCTGTCCCCTCTTTCTCCCTCCAGCCCCTCCTCCCCTTTCATCGTCCCCAAGTTCCCATGTCCCCACCACACCTTCCCCCAAGTCTCTCCCAGCCCTCTAGACTCCGGTCTCTCCAAATTCCCTCACTGAGGGGGCGACTTCCTCACAAGTTCTTCCTCTCCCCTCTGTGTCGGTCCCATGGGGCTCCCTGTGTTTCCCAAGATGCCCCCATATAACCCTTCCATGTTCCCTTCATGGGTCACCCCTACCAGCCCAACTTCCTTGGGCTGAGGCATCCATCTGTCTCCCTCACCGTAAGCCCAAGTGTCCCCCTCCCGGCCCTCAGAGCCCTCCTGCTCCCCTCCTCTCCCCTCGGAGCCTCCTCCCTCACTCCCCTCCCAGCACCGCCCCAGCCGGACAGCTGGGCACTAAGTTTAGCCTTGGCAGGTGCCTGTGGGCTCTGTTTATGCTCCAGGTGGCTGTGGGCATGGGGGACGGGCCTTCCCAGTGCTGTCCGGCCTGGGGAGTCCCTGGGCCTCAGTTTCCCCACCCTGGAGGAGTCGTCTCTGGCCCCCAGCACCAATGGCTGCCCGCCCGTCTTCTCCCCCATAGCCCCTGGCGAAGCGGTGCCGCCTCCAGCCCAGAGATGCCACCAAGATGCCTGAGAGTGCTTGGAAGTTTCTCTTCTACCTGGGCAGCTGGAGCTACAGTGCCTACCTGCTGTTTGGCACCGACTACCCCTTCTTCCACGACCCACCATCTGTCTTCTACGGTAGGGGCCCTGAGGGGATGGCCGGGAGGGCTCTGCTTAAAACACAAAGACACGAGGCAGTGACAGGTGCTTGTGGTCCCAGCTACTCATGAGGCAGAAGCAGGAGGATCGCTGGAGCCCAGGAGTTGGAAGCCAAGGGAAGCTATGAGCACGCCACTGCACTCCAGCGTGGGAGACAGAGTGAGACCTGTCTCTTATCAAAAGAGAAAAAGAGGGCCGGGCGTAGTGGCTCACGCCTATAATCCTAGCACTTTGGGAGGCCAAAGTGGGTGGATTACGAGGTCAGGAGATCGAGACCATCCTGACTGACACAGTGAAATTCCATCTCTACTAAAAATACAAAAAAAATTATCCGGGTGTGGTGGTGGGCGACTATAATCCCAGCTACTTGGGAGACTGAGGCAGGAGAATCGCTTGAACCCGGGAGGCGGAGGTTGCAATGAGCTGAGATCTTGCCACTGCACTCCAGCCTGGGTGACATTTCCAAAAAACAAAAAAAGATGATGAGAATGAGAAGTGGGCTGGGCTCACTGGCTTATACCTGTAATCCCAACACTTTGGGAGGCAGAGGTAGGAGGATTACTTGAGCACAGGAGTTCAAGAGCAGCTGGGGCAACATGGTGAGACCTCCATCTCTACAAAAAATTAGCCTGGTGTGGTGGGACACGTCTGTAGTACCAGCTACTTGGGAGGCTGAGGTGGGAGAATTGCTTGAACCCAGTAGGTGGAGGTTGCAGTGAGCTGAGATCATGCCACTGCACTCCAGCCGGGGCAACAGAGCGAGACCCTTTCTGGGGAAAAAAAAAAAGATGACAAGAAGTGGCTGTGTCCAATTGATAGGAATGGATGTGGCCTGAGTTCTGGGTGGGGTGGGCTGGGCAGGGAGGTGACTGTGGCATGCTTTCTGTGACTGTCCTGGCAGAGAATGCAGGGCAGGGTCGGCATCGCCACTGGGCAGGCTGATGGAGGAAACCCCATCTGTAATGGGGGCAGAGGGGGCTGCAGCTTCTCTGCCCTGTGAGGACTACCAGGGCTGTGGGCCAGGGACACACGGGATAGCTGTTTCCTGCCATGTGATGGCAACAGCCTAGAGGGCTCCTGGTGGCACAGAGCCCAGAGTGTACAGTGGATGTGCCACCTATGGGGCCACTTTTCCCATGCAACACCTTGATCGCCTAGAGGGGAGGTGTTAGCTGTTGCTCAGTTTTCCTTTTAGACGAATGACCCATGATTGAACTCTCCTAACTTCTTTTTTTTCTGAGACAGTCTCACTCTGTCACCCAGGCTGGAGTGCAATGGCACGGTGTCGTCTCACTGCATCCTCCACCTCCCAGGTTCAAGGGATTCTCCTACCTCAGCCTCCTGAATAGCTGGGATT